TGGTCATTAAAAAGATATTAGCCAATAAATTTTAAAATAAAATGTTTACCATATAATTTTAAGTGAAAAAAGCAGAATATAAAATGATATCCTATACTAAAATATCTATATACACAGAAAAAAAATCTATAGGAACTATTACAAAATATTAACAGTTGTTATCTCTGAGTGAAAAATTGAGCTTTCACATTACATATTAGAATATTCAAAGATTCTAGGAATTCTTGTGGTAAAGAAATACATTTGACTTTAATCACCAATTAATTGTAAAATGCATTTGACTTTTAATACACCAAGTGGTATAATCACCATTTCAGAATGTCCAAAAAAAAAGGGAAACATTAATTTAAGTAAGTGGCTAACACTTACGGTCTCCTAAAATTAATAATGTATTATATTATAACTGGCAACATTCCCATCTTAAGACATTTCTTTCAAACTTAAATATAAATAGGCAAGTGTGATTTCAAGGTTTTAATTTCACACACTAAAATCTTTTCTCAAAAGATGTTGAATGCTCAATTTACTATTAAATGTTCACAATTAAATAGCTACTTGAAGCAGGTTTTCTATAGCAAAATAAGCATTAAACGTTCTGCAGAAATAATTTGGAGATATTTTTGTAGATGTAGTAGCCAGAAATCAGAAGGGTGAAGTTTAGGAATCCAATTATAGAAATGTTGACTTCTCAGGAAATTTTTTACAATCTGAAGTGAGCATAAAAAGCAATATAAGAAAGTCCTTTGACCAGGGCTAACCACGCCGGAGCTCATGAGTAACATCACAGGACACCATGGCCCCATGCCAAACCATAAAGTGCCAAATGGAAAATGGCACCAGTCCATGGATTGTAAATACTGTATCAAAAGAAAATAAAGGAAAAAATCTTTCATTAGCGCAATTAAAAGTGCAGTTATAGTACCAGTTCCTGTGATGAATAAATCAGTTCAGCAGGTCCAAGAGCTGACAGCCACTGTTTAAACACATTCTCCACTGGCAGCAGCTTGAAGTTTAAAACCTCACTGTATGTTTCCCTAGTTCCTAAATTTTTTTAAAAACTAAAGTGTTTTTGGATGGTGTAGTTGATTTATAACCCTATCATCTGAAATTTTCACATATGGCATTTTATAGTTAGGCATCTACCTGACCCATTATACTATACAACAGTAGCCAATAAAATTAAGATAAATACTACAAATAAAAGTATTCATACCAATGTGCTCAAACTTTAGACCATAAATTCCAAAGAAATGAAAAGTTTCTACTAACCCAAAATTAACCATTCACTATTTCATAACCCTATTTGTCAAATTATTCTTACTAAATTAGCATGTTCTCCTACAGAGCTTTTGGAAAAACCCCAAAGGTAGGCTGTAAATTCAGTTAAGTAAATTTAAAAATGTTTCAAAAAGAATTCAAAACCACCTTAAGTAGCCTAAACTAGCAGGTAGGCCCTGGGGATGTTCCTATCTCTTGGGTGCTGTTTACAAAATAATTGTGTTCTTTAAGTTAACAAGTGTATCACTTAGCTTTTAGTGGCTAAAACAACAGACATATTATTTCTGACAATTCTGAGGGTTTACTGGGGTTCTGGTCTGAGCAAAGTTCGATTGGGGTGGGATAGTCTAATGTGGCAACATGACAATTGGGTGGATGGCTGGACTAAGAGGATCTCAGGTAGTAGGGCTTATCTCTGCTCCACATGATCTCTCACCCCCCAGGAAAGGAGTACAGATTTCTTCACATGGCTAATGCAGGGTCTCAAAGAGCAGCAAGAGCTGGCAAGACCCAAGCGCTTTCAAGCTTGCTTGCATCATGACTGTTAATATCCTATTGGCCAAAGCAAGTTACATGGCCTAGCACAGATTCAAAAGGGAAAAACCTTAACTCTATCTCTTTTATGACAGGAACTACAAAGTTACAGTACAAAGGACAAGCACACAGTGATGGGAAGAATTTGTGGTCATTTTTAGCAATCTATCACACTGCAAAATGCACAAGTCCCTGCTCCACATAGTCCATGGTCAAAAAAGTTTCCATAACAGCTCTTTTGACACTTTAGTCTCTATATCAAAAAACTGAGAAATCCTGCAGCAAAGAAATACAGTTGATTTTATTTACACCAGCATTTCCCAAACTTATCCTATATAATAAAACCCTAATATGCAAATCGACTGAACGGCGGAATGACCGGTCGCTATGATGTGCACTGACCACCAGGGGGCAGACGCTGAACGCAGGAGCTGCCCCCGGTCTGGGCCAGCAAGTGGGCAGTGGCAGGCTGCCAGCCAAGGTGGGTGCCAACGGGGCCCCCCAATCACCCCGCCCACCAGTTGCCCCCCAGAGAGAGGCAACTGGCGACTGGTGACAGCGGGGGATGGGGAGCCTCCCAACCGCCCCACAGATCGACCCTGATCACCCGCCAGGCCTAGGGACCCTACTCTATATATTGGGAACAGTCTCTTAAATTTAAAATTTAAACCTGGCAAAGCTACTCTGACACTGAGTAAACAGGATGATGCAGTGATGACATGCATGGATTCTGGCTTGCACATTTTGTAGTCAGCCCTGATTCTGACACTTAAAACTGGGTGATAAAGCCAATTGCTTAACTTCTCTCTGCTTCACTTTTTCTACCCATAAGATGGGGGAAATGGTGCTACTGTCTCAGAAGGATCATGTTATATACTACTTTTTATAATCAGGGCAAAAAAAATGTAGCTGCTCATACAACAGCAAGATGCCTTTTACCTATATGAAAAGTATGGTCACTGGTGCATACAGTGTCCCAGATTGCGAGAGGGATGTCCGACTGCCAGCTTAGGCCCAATCCCCATGGGAATCAGACATCCCCACAAGGGGGCAGACGCTTGACGCAGGAGCTGGCCCCTGGTGGTCAGTGTGCTCCCACAGGGGGAGCGCTTCTCAGCCAGAAGCCGGTTTCATGGCTGGCGAGGGCAGTGGCGGTGGCAGGAACCTCTTCTGCCTACGCAGCAGCGCTAAGGACCCCCCACTCCCCCCTCCCCCCCCCCCCCGGGATGTCCAACTGACAGCTTAGGCCTGGCAGGAGCAGGCCTAAGTCATCAGTCAGATATCCCCCGACGGCTCCCCGGACTGCGAGAGGGCGCAGACCGGGCTGAGAGACACCCCCCTGAGTTCACGAATCTTGTGCACCAGGCCTCTATTTGACCATAAAACACATTTTTCAAGGAATGGTCACTTTTAAAAGTGAAAAAAAATCCATTAAATTCTTCTCACTATACGGTTCCACAGCCTACTCTGTTGACTTGCTATCTTTTGAGTCTTTTATTTTTTAGCTTACGATTAAAAAATGTTAATGACCAAGAAAACTGAATATTAACACGTCTATATACAATGAGGCAAAAGGTTCAAAATTACATCTGACTCTCTAACAAGGCTCTAAGTTTTCAAATCGCTATAATGTTAGAGCTTTTAAAGAGTGTCTCAGCAGCAACAGGACTACCGCAAAAGAGAAATTTAAATGGTGTGATATTATAGAGGCAAAAGGAAAGAGCAGTCCAAAATTCCCCACTTCTGTCAGAACGCTCCTAAAACTGATAGAGAACAATCTGTTAACTTTCCTTGAGCAGCAGAGAGATACAGTTCAGGCAAGCTTAATGGCCCATCCTGTACCTCAATACTACCAATGCTTTGTTCACTTTCCAGAAATATTAATATAAAAGGCCCACTTGGGACATGGAGGATATAACAGATGATCCATGCAGAAAAGGTAACTTCTTGCCCTTGTGGTGATTGGATTGAGAACTTTGCAAAGACTATCTATGATAAACTAAATGTAAAAAGACCCCACAATCCATCAGGCATCATTAGTAGAAGGCATCATAACTAGAAGATATTTTTGTTCTGAAATTAGCCTGGTTGACATTTTCTGATAAAACTAAACATGCAATTAGTATACTACCCAGCAACTGCACTCTTGGGCATTTATTCCAGAAAAATGAAAAGTTACATTCACACAGAACCTGTGCAAGAATGTTAATAGAAACCCTGACCGGTTTGGCTCAGTGGATAGAGCGTCGTCCTGCAGACTCAAGGGTCCCAGGTTCGATTCCGGTCAAGGGCATGTACCTTGGTTGCGGGCACATCCCCAGTAGGGGGCGTGCAGGAGGCAGCTGATCAATGTTTCTCTCTCATCGATGTTTCTAACTCTCTATCCCTCTCACTTCCTCTCTGTAAAAAATCAATAAAATATTAAAAAAAGATACTTTCTAATCTAATTAAAAAAAAAAAGAATGTTCATAGCAGCTTTATTTATAATAGCCCCAAAATGGAAACAGACCAGATATCCTTTAACAAGCAAGCGAGTGGTTAAACTATGGTACATATACCACAGACTACTACTCAGCAATAGAAAGGAACAAACTATTGATACACATAACAATTTGAATGCATCTCCAGGGAATTATATTAAGTGAAACAACCTAATCTCGAACTGCTCTATATAATTCCATTAATATAACATTTCTGAAATGACAACATTTTAGAGATGGGTGTAGAAACAAGGTGGGTGTGATTATACTAGTAAAAGGGCAAAGCAGGGGACCATTGTGGTGGTGGAACTTTTTAGCATCTTGATTCTGGCAAGATGCACAACCTTTACATGTAATAAAACTGCATAGGTGTAAATATACACATGTGCGCACACACATAAACGAATACAAGTAATTCTGGGAAAATCTGAATAAGATCAGTGATTATGACAATATAAATATCCTGCTTGTGATAATGTACTCTAGTTTTGCAGATGTTACCATCAGGGAAAACTTGATAAACGATACACAGGATGTCCCTATAGTATTTTTTAGAACAGTACTGAATCTACAATTACCCCCACAAAAATTTCAATTAAAATACATTTTTTTAAGTTTAGCCTAGGAAGGTAGTTTCCCTGGCAACTCAGTTTCTTTCAGAGTTGAATTCAAACAGTGTGGCTTGCATGCGGGATACAAATGACTTACACTTGGGACATCAACTGCAACCTCCCTCATGGCACTGGGCCTGACGTCATTCATTCCCTGCAAGAAATCATTCAGAGTAATCTTCACCAACGCAGCCACCTTGCTGTCAGGGAGGTTAGGCTGTTTCTTCAGGACTCTCCGAAAGGCATTGAGACCTACAAAGAGAAAAGTAACACAAGATTTATCTTTTACCCCATAAATACAGTCTGAACCATTACAATTAAAAATAATAACAACCTAAAACCTCATGCAATTATAGCATTTCAAATGTGTTGTGCTTGTGTGTATAGATGGGGGTGGGAGGGTGGAGAAGAATATGGAAGAATGTGGGGGATAAAGGCAAAACTCCAAGTGCTTAGTTTGGCAGGGAAAATACAACAAACTGATATGAAACAGGAAAAGACAGATACTTTATAATTGTGAAATAAATAGAACAATATACATAAAAAAAGACCATAACCGTTCATCAAAATAATCTGTTTGGAGAATTTCCTTTAATAGGATAAAATATTAAAATAATAACATATCTTTTGCTTCTGAACTTCTTGTCAATATATTCAAACCAGAGCTACAAGTTTGGTAAGGTATTGGCAGAACATCTTAAAGGAAATATTCAGTTGGCAGGTTGGAAATGTAGTTTTGGAATTCAAGAGGAAGCCAGGCTTCAGTGTTATGTTCTATTATAGGATGGAAGAGACCTGTAAGGTGACGCTAGGGGCTGTCACCCAGGCCTCTCTCTATGTCATTCTGTAAAAACTGAGGTTCAGGGAACCGCTGCTCTGGCTACTTCTGCTGCTGTCAGTAATATTCTGTCCTTTGACTATGACCAGCAATACTGTGTCTTCTGCAAGCACTTGTGAAACTTGTTAGCTTGCAAGTAGGGTAAAAATCTCAGACCTTTCTGCCCTAGCCAGTTTGGCTCGGTGGATAGAGCATCGGCCTGCGAACTGAAGGGTCCTGAGTTCGATTCCAGGCAAGGGCACATGCCCGGGTTGTGGGCTCGATTCCCAGTGGGGGACTGTCAGGAGGCAGCCGATCCATGATCTCTCTCATCATGGATGTTTCTATCTCTCTCTCCTGCTTCCTTCATCTCTGAAATCAATAAAAATATATTTTAAAAAAAAATCTCAGACACTTTATAGCTCTTGACACAAAAATAAAAGTTATGTTAAATTAGATTGTTTTGCTGTCCAACATTCTTTTTAGCTAAATGGTGCAATAGCATAGAAAACTAAATAAAACTTCAGCAATAAGGTGCTGTGTTGTATTCAATATCACCTTGGTGGCCTAAAAGAATATAAGCAGTTTCTAAAAAAATCTCCCCAAAATGAAAGTACTCAAAACACCACAAGAATCTTACTGTTCTTCATTTCCCAAGTAATTATATGGCAATACTTGTCAATATTTCTAATGTAGACCAGACACCTTACTTATACCAGTACTGAAATACTAAAAACTGAAACAAGAGAAGTGATCTAATAATTTTCCAGCCATACTTATGTCATGTAAGCACAAAGTTTGATAATAAAGGAGACCAATTATTTTCACTTGAAGAAGGGGTTTTAAAGGAGCAGAAAATATATGCTTTTTAAAAGGATACATTATAAGTACATGTTTATAAAACAACAAAACCTCTGCACTTTCAAATACAAACTACAGAATTTAAGAGCTCAGCAAAATCTCGAGGTCTATTAGGATAATAAGAAAACAGCAGTAGTTCCCAGAGGAGATAGAAAAGGCAAAAGATGAAAAAGACTTGAGTTTTCAACAATTAAGAAACAGTAAAGTACAAAGATTGATTCTATGACAAACACAGCACAACTTAACATATCCAAATAGGTAAGCATATTCACATAAAATATATGAAATATAACATGAAAATTTGTGGGATGCTACTAAAGCTGTACTTACAAGGACACTGACAGATACAATACACATATTAGGAAAGAAAAATGGATGAAAGTCTAAGAGGTGCTCATCTCAGCTCCTATCAGGAACATCTAACAGTTTAGTGGGGATTAGTGACAGTTTAGGAAAACCCTTGCAGAAATCATTTAGTATATTCCTTTATTTCACAAATGATGAGAGACTACAAGGTCTATCCAAGTTCAAGAAGTCAGACTTGAAAAATGAGTTGATATTAACTGATAACATGGGACTTAAGGACAAAGAGGCAGCAGAGTATTCCAGGCAGAGAGAACAGCATGAACAAAGGCCTAGAGATAAGAATTAGCTTAACATTTGAGACTAGGAGGCCCTGTAGAACAAGACAAAATCCCTGTCCTTAAAGAGGTCACTCTTAGATATATGAAAGGACATATTTTAAGAACATGTTTTAAATAAACCTAAATCCAACTTTATTAATTTGTTTGTAGACATATGAGAAGATAAAGTATAGTAGACTGCCAGAAAGGAACAAAGAACAATGTGGAGGTTACAGATATGCAAAAGCTGTCAGCCATAGGCCTTCAGATGTTAAATGAATATCAGAGCTTGCAATTTTAAAGATCCCTGGAGCCATCCTATTAATGCAACCTATCCTCCATGGTCCTATACCTGCCACTAGCTCAGAAAAACTGCCTCATTGGCCATCAGTTATCTCATTGATTAAATGGAAAGATTAAAATCTATATTGTCAATTGTTTTTCAGCTTTAAAATCCTGTGATGCTAAGGTAAAATTATTGGACATCAACCATTCCTCACAAGGACATATTAGAATTTATGCCAAGAAATTAAATATTTAAAAATACACATATTTTTATAAAGGAGAAGTAAACAATTAACCAGAGAAGCAAATGGACACATGTACATGATCAAAGAATATAGCTTAGAGCAGTGGTTCTCAAACTTCCTAATGTCGCGACCCTTTAATACAGTTCCTCATGTTGTGGTGACCCCCAATTTCACTGTTACAAATTGAACATAATTAAAGCATAGTGATTAATCACAAAAACAATACGCAATTATATATGTGTTTTCCGACGGTGTTAGGCGACCCCTGTGAAAGGGTCGTTCGACCCTCAAAGGGGTCACGACCCACAGGTTGAGAACCGCTGGCTTAAAGCATGCAATCTATGACATTTCCTTCCCTTGCTAAGTTTAAAGTTAGTTTTTAAAATGTAAACAAAAACAGAAGCAAACTTCACTGTTCTTAAAAATTTTTTTAAACAAAAAACAGGTGTAACTAATTAAACAATAAATGTGTCATTTGTCTTCATTATTTTATTTTCCAATGCTCTCAAAGCTGAGAATAGAAAACAAGATGCAAAATTACAGTTATAAAGTAGCAGCGAAAATAATTTTATGGTTGGGGGTCACCACAACATGAGGAACTGTATTAAAGGGTCGCGGCATTAGGAAGTTTGAGAACCACTGCTCTAGCCACTTCTCAGTCTCCATATTAGATATTCTCTAACAGCCCAGCATTTGATGGTGGTGCCCCACCTTCTCTCATTAGCACTGTAAACTTTCCCCTACCATTCAGCAATACCCAACACACTGTACTATAATTACCTGTCACACCCAGCATTTCCCTGTGCATCAAGGCCTCTCTAAGAGGAGAGATCCAGACTGTCTTATTATTCACTGAGGTAGCCCCAGCACCCAGTGCAGGGCCTGGCTCAACAAATGAATGGATGACTGAACTCTATTCTTCCTAAGTGATTTCATTCACCATCTCATTGCTGCCAACTCCCAAATCCTTATCTCTAACCAAGACTCTGCTGTCTCCAAAACCTGCAATTCAAAGGCCTGCAGCTTAGACAATAGAAAGAATAGAGGAGTGGGAGGTGGGATAGAGAATAATGCATAGTCTAGAAAAGAACAATGAGTAGTTAAAATAATTTTTTTTTTTAATTTTTAAGAGCTCAAATTCTGAATAAATTTTGAAAATAGAGCTGATAGGATTTGACAAAGGAAAAGAGGAATCAAGAATAACTCTTAGAAATAACTTTTATTTAGATACACTGATTTTAGTTTTTTATTGTTTTAATTAGGTAGAAAACCTTTCAAGTTTTATACTTTTCTAGTCTTGGCAAGACAACTCAAAAAATTTTCCACTAGCAAAGTAAATGGTACATAGCACTTAGAGCTTAAACAGAATCAAACGTACCTATTTTATCTAAACAAACCACTCAGCACCAAGTCATTTCAAATGAACAGCAAAAGTAATACTAAGATACCCAATTCACTGACAAAAAAAAAAAAATCCATCTCTTACATAATATCCATAATATTTATGCAGTAGGAAAAATCCTAACACCACAAATATAACTATATTTCAGAATTATAAAACTGAGGAGAAAATGCATTGTTTTATAAGATACTAGAGGCCTGGTGCACAGATTCGTGCACCAGTGGGGTCCCTCGGCCTGGCCTGTGGGATCAGGCCAAAACTGGCTATCCGACATCCCCTGAGGGATCCCGGATTGCAAGAGGGTGTGGGCCAGGCCAAGGGACCCCATCAGTGCACAAATCTGTGTACCAGGCCTCTAGTTTATAATCCTAAGCGCAGGTCCCTCAGCTTGGCCTGTGGAAATCGGGCTGAAACCGACTTTTCGACATCCCCGGAGGAGTCCCGGGTTGCGAGAGGGCACAGGCCAGGCAGAAGGACCCCACTGGTGCACAAATCCATGCACCAGGCCTCTAGTCTATAATAAAAGCGTTATATGCTAATTAAACTGGACATCCAGATGTCCTTGCAGACAACCTTCCGGATGAAGCCGGAGCTGCAAGGGAAACTCGGTTCCTGGATGCCTGCCGGTGGCCAGAGGGAAGCCTAGGTCCTGGGTGCCAGAGGAAAGGCGGTGCCGGCAGCAGGGGGAAGGCCTACTCTTGCATGAATTTCGTGCATTGGGGCTCTAGTATGCATATAAGATCTTTGGCTAACCTTTTCCCACCCTCCACCCTCCCCCCTCCCCCTTCCCTCTGAGATTCATCAATCTGTTCCATGTTTCCATGCCTGTGGTTTCCGCTCCTGCATTGAGTGTCTGCCCCCTGGTGGTCATTGCACATCATAGCTACCGGATGGTCGGCCGGCCAGCCAGTCACTTAGGTTTTTATATATATAGATCATAGTACATAATTACTGGTTACTTATCCAGCTACAACAATGAATGAAGACATACTCCCTTATAAAACATATAAATTTACCTT